ATTTAATATCGTTTCTTATGGTAATGTATACCAAACAAAAACAAAATAAAATCGTAGAGTCATTGAATCACTGAATCATTAGCAGGAATCCAGCATCCGATATAAAAAGACGTGTTAAATATATATCTTACTATAAAGATGATCCATTATGTATACGTGTGTGTGTGTGTTAGCATCCATCATCCATCTCTAGTCTTTCACTGGTAAATTAGGGACGGCTAGTGCAGGTAGCCCTCGTGTAGCTTTGCGTGAAATTCAAAACAAACCGCCCCCCCCAGAGGCACAGCGGCATGTCTGCGGAATTACAACGCTAGAAACCGGGGGTTCGATACCTGTAGTGGGTAGAGCACAGATAGTCCATTGTGTAGCTTTGTGCTTAACTTCAAACAAACCAATCCTCAACAGGTACCCTCAACCAGTATAAATAGCTCTAACTAGTGGCATATGTTAGTTAGAAATTTTCCGAACTGTTCTTTATGTTTTTAAAATGGGTTTAATGATTTCATGGGTTCTCGTCTTCGGACCAGAAGCTTCAAATTTGTGTACCGTGACGGATATAGTTTACAACGTTATATTTTTCTTTGTATTTTGTTGGTATTTGTACGTTCTCACTAGAATATATGTATTTACCGAAATATGTTAAATCTTCTTTTTTTTTCAACTTTTTATTCTTAATATTTTACAGTCTAGAAAATCATAGTATGAAGTTATGGAAGTATTTTATGCGATTAACAAGATGAACCTGTTTATAGGAAAAAACGATTGTATGCGTTTATCTGGTTGCTCAGCGATAAATCTGTAGGTTTACGACCCTAAAAATTGGATTTCGATGCCCGTGGTTAACAGAGCACAGATAGCCAGATCTTTGTTTAGCTATGCGCTTAGTAACAGCCAAACCAAGATCAAACTTTAAGGGAAGTTCTATTATTTGGTGCTACTAAGAAACATTGTATGAAATAGCAAATCCTGAAACTAGTTTGATTTATAAGAGAATACATTTAATACACATTTTTCATCTACTGTATTTTATTATCGTATTTTACTCTACAAATTTTCGGGTACAAATCAATGACCGTCAAAATACTTTTTTTTATTTTTGAGATAAATGATTTATTGGAAGTTTACACTCATGGTCTATAACTTTGAAAGGAAGATGCTGGCTATGTCATTTCTGGTCTTACTTTTTGTCTCCAAACCCACGTTTTTTGATATGTCTAGCTAGAGAATCATCTGCTAGCTTGGACAGGAAATGAGGAAACCAGTAGTGGACAAAAAAATCATGTTTCAGACTTCGATCAGGAAGTGGAAATATATCGTGCTGAGGATGAACTACGACCACTTCAGAGTTTTCCACAACAGAATTCAAATGCGGCTTTCCTGTTACAGGGTGGAAAGCCTTGTAAATGCGCTGTTTTTCCAAGGATCTTCTTTTTTCGCCAAAGCCTCTTTTTTCACCAAATCCTCTTTTTCCAATTTCTCTACTTTCATAATTATTGGAACAAGAAGAAAGACAATATTTCTTTGGTTTCATCATATCAATGTTATATTGTCTGTCGTATATCTCATCACCATACTCGTCCACATCACCAGTGCTGGTCAGAAAGACATCATCTTGCTTACCGTGAGCGATTTTAGCATTGTCTGCAGAACCCGATATAATTTGAGCCACAGTAACAAGTAAATAGAAGGTTGACAACATTTTAATCTTCTGTTAGGGATATATAAATTGAAAATAATAAATGTTAAAAATACGATTCATAAAGCAATATTTTAAGCATCTCAACGTTAATACAGTTATATTAGTTGTTTCTTCAAAAATATATTTATTTATCACATACTCTTGAAAGTTAAAAAATATTCAGGAACTACATACACTCTTGCCATGCCATTCTCTCTCTCTTTTAGACCCTTAATTATAATTAAAAAAAAAATTAAAGTAAAGCTAACCGTGCTTATTATTACTGAAATATAATAAACTATTCTTAAATAACCTAGGGTCGCGGGTTCGAATCGCATCCCACCAAACATGCTCGCCCTTTCAGCCGTGGGGGCGTTATAATGTGACGGTCAATCC